TCCGCTTCTCAAGCAGAAAATCAAATCACTGAAAATGAGTGTCATCAAGGACAGTACATTGTACGTGACAAAACGTGACTGGAACGCTGTGGATATACATATAGTACGGTAGTTAGCAACGTCGTGAAAACAGGAATTTCAGGACAACTGGTTTTTTGATATGACACATCCCTCTCACTCCCTCGGTTAGCGTGGGGGCCATCTGGCAGGCGGTAATGGTTGCGTTGATTTTTTTAAATCAATTTTCTTTTCATTGGCTTTGACTAGCTTTTAGAAACGTAGATTTATTATTGCCATACATGTCCTTTAACAACTAGCATTGTGCAAGACGTCACTTTTTATAAAAAAAAAAGTTGCTTCCCTTCCTTCGATTCCTGGTGCTACTATTTCGGGGGACCTCACTGAACATTTTCCAAAAAAAAGAGAGCAAAAATCCGTCGGGCGCTTTTTTCTATGCTAACTTTTACTAATTCAAAAATTACACAGGCCAACATAAATTGGAAAAAATTTTGTTTCCAAAAATGTTAAAGCTGTTTTCGATATTCAAATATTGCAAAAAAAAGCGATTTTTTGATAATTTTATCACGTTTTTCTCAAAATCTAAAGCTGATGGAAACTTAATACTTACAGATTCGTAATCAGCACAAAGAGGGCTATCAAAAACAGCATTAACATTCTAGGAAACAAATTTTTTTCCAATTTTTGTTGGCCTGTGTAATATTTGAATTAGTAAAAGTTACCATAGAAAAAAAGCGATCGACGGATTTTATTCTTTGTTTTTGGAAAATGTTCGCTGAATTCCCCCGAAATAGTAGCAACAGGAATCGGCGAATTGAAGCAACTTGAGGGATGAAATTGTTTCCAGGATACCGTGATAAGTAAAAAAAGTCTGAAAAATATTAACTCCTTTTAATTGTGTTTGCCATATACACTGTACCAAGGTATTTGCTAGTATCTAGTAAATAAAAATAAAAACAACTTACTACCGTCCACATATTAAGCGCCAAAGACTCCCAGTGATTATCTAAAAAATACTCATATTCATACAAATTTTATGAAGCGTCAAAAGATAACGACGCGCTAGCGCTGAGCTAATAGATTTTTCATTTTTACAGGGCATTGTACATGTTGATGTTGAGTGGGTGCGAAAAAAGACCACCCCAACGTTTGCAAGTATATTGTTAAAAATTATTTTGCGACATTGAATATTCGTAGGAGTAAAAGTTTGTTCAAGATGTTGCCGATTGTAAAAATCCCTGAGTCCAACGAGCGACTAGTCTCGAAGTGTTTAAAAAAATAGACTCCCTGCAAAAACTCGGCATAACTATTTTTGCTGTGCAAACATTACGCCTTGCTTTCGACAGAGCAAAGCTCTGGAGTGTCGGTCGAGAGATTTGAGGTTCGAGTGCTAGAGCAGGGTGATTTTTTTTATAGTTTTTTTTATATTTTTTTGTGTCTTTATTTTAATTTTTAAACTGCATTTTAAAAAGAAAAAAATAACTCATTTATTTTTTATGTTATTTGAGTATTTAGGTTTTTGCACAATTTTGTAATTTATATTTGAATTAAAATAATTTACTTACCTTATACGGGTACCAAACATAAACAGCCTTTATTTGCATTAACTCATGCATTTTCATGCACACAATTTTTGGGAATTAACTCGGATCAGGGGAATTTTCAATGACAACACTGGTAAAAGTTTTAAATTATTTATTTTTTTTTTTATTTGATTTATATATTTAATTTTACGTTATTTAATTTTCCTTTTTTAATATCACATTTTTTATTTTACTATTAGTTAACTTAAATTTTTAGAGTTGAATTTTATTAAAAAGTCAACAAAAACTAACTGAAAGTACAGTTAAAAAATATAGAACTTAAAAAAATTAATAGAAACGAAATAAATGAAAATTTTACTGGCCGTCGGACTCGAACCCACGACCTTGCGGCACGTTAATCCGCATTACTGCCGTATGTCAGTGCAAAATTATAATGCGCATTTGTGTGCTGGTTTATCTGCATAAGCATGCTCGTCTGTCTCGCGTTTTACTCTAACACCTCCGGATACAGAACCACAGCAGCAGCAAGCCTTTTGGACGATACTGAGGAAGGGATATTAGGCACAGTTACGTTCACAACGAATTAGATTGATTTCATAGAATCCTAAAAAAAATCGAATTTGATACAAACTCGATACTCGGAAATAAATATCGAATGTTGGTATTTCGAGATTAAAAGTATCGTATTTCTCCAAAATTTTTTGGAAACAATTTTAATGTTTTCTTACACCGATATTTTTTTCCAAGCCTAGGTTTTCCTTTCAAGATTGGATTTGAATTTTAGATTCAGGTACTTCTCACACTTTGATACTAGTGTCAGCAAAGGGTGAGAGAATATTCGATTGTTTATACATCAGTTGTAACTGCTTAGAATCCCGGCAAGACCTACCTGACTGAACCAACAATCAATCGAAAAATCAAACGAAATGTCAAATGATGAGAGTGGGAGGGATAGGAATTCACATGTATTGATGAGAATAATATACGGATGGTAATTTTTTTGCCCGCCATCCTAATAAAAATTACTACATCGATCTTCTAACGAATAACACCAAATTCTGTCAGAATGGCAGTTTCAAGTGATTTGCATAAGTTGAGTGTATTTAAAAAAAAAAAATTTGAACATACATAGAGACAGGTAAACTTCGCTCAATTGGGATCTGGTTTGACCAATAATTGTTAACCGAATTGAATGATTTTTTATAGTTTTAGATAGAAATTTTTTATAGTTTAGATTTTAAAAGAAAAATATCATGAACCGAAATAAAGACTAGAGAGGCATTTTAGTAAAATAAAAAAAGTAAAATACCACTTCCTAATTTTTACACATCGTCGTTTAAAGTACAAAACCGTGCATCAAGATAATGCAAAACCTCGTTGGTGAGGATGACCAAATTTTACAGGAGAATGTAAAAGCTATCTGATTTGAAAACAGTTCTCTCGTGTATCTCTAATAATTTTTATTTTCTTATATCTAAATATATATATTTAAGTATGAATGAATAAGGCATGCTGCCAGAAGTTCGCTGTGAGCAAATATATGTTTTGGCACATATATCAGTTACGAGGTTTTGCACTTTAAACGACGTTATATGTATTTTATCAAAATAAAATTTTTTCACGCGGAAATATTTTTCTCCTATAATAGTCTTTGAAATAAATAACCTGCTAAGTTTTTCATTTAAATTCCATTACAGATAAAAAGCCAACCACCGGCGAGGTAAAGATATCAGATTCTGAATCTATAGCCAAAGGCAAATCTACGGAGGATGGCATCTCTGAGGCTAAACTCGTGTCTGAAGTTTCAGCAGAACGAAAAGACAAGAAGGAAGCAGAAGGAGAGCAAAATATCGAACCGTTATCAAATGTTACGGAAGCAGAGGGCCAAGTTAAGGTAAATCATTTCGGCTCGATTTGTGAGTTATAGTGTTAATGCCAGACTTTGAACAAAAAGTTCTGCTCTTACCAGGGATACGATTATGTTTTCTTTCACTGAAAATAAAATTTCGTAGCATTACGTGCTCATTTCTCAAAATATTGCCCTCCTACTAATCAAAAGTGCAATACTCTCTACTAATATAGCCGTTTTGCAGGACAAAAAGTAACCTAGTCCAAATATTACAGTGCAAAAAAAAATTTCAATAGTAAAGCCTCGTAAGTTTGTCATTGACTCGTTTTACTTGTGATATATTTAAATAAAACATGTGAATTTTAGTGGAAATATTTTAGCCGTTTTTAGCCGCTTTTTTGGCCAATTTAGCCGGTCCGACCAAACAGTTCTGAAAATAATAATGTCACTTGTGTAACTACTAGAGTACAACTTCACAACAAGCTTTTCAGACGTTCGGTGCTTTTCATAACTTAGCCATTGCTGAAAGCCCTGAAAGCGCTGACCACCTGAAAAGCTTGTTGCGGAGTTGTACTATTACATTGAGCGAAAAATATAAAAATCATTAAATAATGATTAAATGCTGATTTTAATTATTTTACTTACATACATTGATTTACAACACAATAATTTTATAATATACAACATCGATTTGTTATAAATTTCTTTCTAGAAGCGTCCTTATCCAAAAGCGGTCTCCTTTATCACCGGCAATGAGCTTTGCCAGAGTTTCTACATCTATGGCCAGCGTAGTAAGTGTTAATCAGCAAGAAATATACAACAAGTGCTTTCACTCAACTTTAATTATTCAATGATTACCCCCCGTCCCTTTCGCAGCCATTCTCGTCCTGTACCTGACTCATCAACTCCTCTATAGTGACGACGACGCCACTGCCATCTACCACATCTGTATTATGCTTACCTACTTCCTCTGCCTGTTTGGTGCAATCATCTCTGACAGCTGGCTTGGAAAATTCAAAACGATCTCTTATCTCTCGCTTGTCTATGTTGTCGGGGCAGCATTGCTTGCTGTCGGTGCTGTGCCTCCGCTAAATTTGCCCGCCAGGACGATTACATTCATCGGTCTGGCGTTAATAGCGCTGGGCTCGGGCGGCATACGACCGTGCGAATCTGCTTTCGGTGGTGACCAGTTCAAGCTACCCGAACAAGTGAAGCAATTGACGATATTCTTCTCGCACTTATACTTTTCAAGAAATGTTGGTGCACTGACTGCGACCATAGTAACACCTATTCTGCGTGAAAATGTTCAATGTTTCGGCGAACAGGAATGCTATTTATTGGCTTTTGGCGCACCGGCTATCCTCATGGCTGTCTCGTTATGTGAGTACTTAAACACTAAAGAGAAAAATTTACGAATCTTATGCAAACTTTCACTCATATTTTGTAGTTATTTTCGTACTTGGCCGCCCATTATATAAAATTATCCCACCAGCGGGCAATGTGGTGGTGTTGGTCAGCAAAACTATTGGTGTAGGCAGCCTGAAAAGCTAAACAAATTGAAAAAGTACTAAAAAGATTATTCCAAACAGAACGCCATTGCTACAAAATGGAAGGAGAAGAAGACCAATCCTCGTGAACACTGGTTGGACTATGCGGATAAGAAGTATGACCGTCAATTGATTGAAGATGTGAAAGTGCTGATGCGTATTTTGGTACTTTATCTGCCGCTGCCTGTCTTCTGGGCACTTTTCGATCAGCAGGGCTCACGCTGGACTATCCAGGCAACCCGGATGGATGGCGACATGGGCTCATGGGATATTAAACCCGATCAAATGCAAATCTTAAATCGCGTCTTGGTTTTGATATTCATACCACTTTGTGAACTGGCATTCTATCCTTTACTTGGTCTGGTCGGTATTCGTCGTCCTTTACAAAAGCTGACTTTGGGTGGAATATTCGCCGGCATAGCTTTCATTGCTTCCGGCTTGCTCGAACTACAATTAGAGGTGAGTCAACTGCCATCTAAGTGGTTTGGTGACAGATAACAGTTAACTCCCATTCGCAATTCAACTTTAGATATTCATTATCTTAAGACTTTAAGGACGGCAGCTAACCCTCAACTTTTATACTGAAAATAAGAAGCTATCTCCAGTGTTATGTCCCCACTCTTAATACAGCCTTTAGTGTTCAGAAGAAAAATAATACAACATTTTCATTTGCAGAAAACTTACCCAGTCTTGCCCAGCGCAGGAAATGCTCAGCTTCGTGTTTACAATGGCGAATTGTGCGACTATTCCATTACCACCAATTTGACGAATTTCAACTTTGATGTGGCCTCACTCAATATGTACAAGAACAGCACAGACATCGGCTCCGAAGGTTTCCTATACGTAAGATTCGATGTTACCAGCAAAAGTGCGAGTTGTGATTCATTCCCCAGCCAAACTTTTATTTTCAACTCCTCAACCAGTCATTATTTGTTTTTGAACTCAAAAAACACTGCACAACCTTTAGTCTGGGGAGTGGACACAATCAGTAAACCCAGTCGGGGCTATCCGCTAGGACGTACATTGGCAAATATAGAGCCGACTCGCCAAATTGATTGGAAAAATAAAAAAGGTACGATTCAGCACACCGAGCCAGCCAACTTGGGCAACATAACGGAACTAAAGTCGGGCACTTATCAAATATTAGTTGATAATGTTGAGATTGTCAGCGTATATCTCAAAGTTGGTGGCATTTACACGATTTTAATAAACGAAGATTCATCAGGCCAATACCGCAATAATGTCATAGTTGTAACGGAGCCCAATTCGATATCCATTTTCTGGTTGATTCCGCAATACGTTATTATGACCCTCGGTGAGGTGATGCTCACCGTGACTGGTCTGCACTTTTCATACGCGCAGGCGCCACAGACAATGAAATCAGTACTGACAGCTTGTTGGCTACTTACGATGGCTTTCGGAAATTTAATCGTCGTAATTATCGCCGAACTATCGCTCTTCGATTCACAGGCGGATGAGTTCTTCCTCTTTGCCGGCCTAATGTTTGTTGATATGATTGTTTTCATGTTCGTGGCTTATCGGTACAAACCGAGCTCGGTAGCGCCGAATAACGAAAGCGAGCTGTGCACGCCACCAGAAAAAAACGAAAAGGATGGCATTGATAATGTGGCCAAGGCGATTGATGATTAGATACGAAGTTGAAATGAAGATTGATTTCTAATTGAATGAAAAATAAGTGTGTAATTTGTAGTGAACTTTGATGTTAATTAATAACACTGGATCAGAGATTTTAATTTTGATTTTGTTCTCCAGACGCCATTCCGAAAATCGAGTTAATTTTTTTTTGTATGGATACATTACCGAGATATTTGCCGTTTAGCGTTATTCAGCTTAAAAAAAAGAGGGGATCTACTTAACCAGGTATATCTTGCGAACCAATGAAATAATCGTAAAACGAGATACTGCAAATGAAAGAAAATATAATTTTCCATGAACCGTATGTACACCACTTTTCGATAGTCCTGACAGAATTTTTCAGAAACTATCAGTGCAATCGAAAAGTGATGTACATATATAAGCTTTGTGGAGAATTTTTTTTCCCCGATCTCGTATTACGATTATTCAATCGGTTCGTAGGATATACGTGATTAAGCGCAACCACTATTTTTTTAAATTGCAAATATCTCAAAGAGTTATCCATAGTAAAGAAATTATCTCGATTTTCGGAATCACCGAGCATTTCTACATTGGATAGTGGCATCCATAGAAAATTTTTTCTGTAAACCAGTGTAATGTTTCCTACTTAATCAGTTTGTAAGTTAACGTACTATAGTTAATAAAAAAGTATTACAATAACTACTGTAAACTTAAACAATAAATGAAGGATGTAAATGATATACTTTTGGTAACGGAAGCTGAGGTAATGTTGTTAAAAACTTACATATATATGTATGAACGCTTCACTTGGAAACGGCTGGCAAAGTAGCAGCCGCTTTCAGTTTGTATTACCTTTTTTATACCGACACAGTTGACCCAGTTCGCTGTGATTTAAAACAGAAGAATAAACCAATTTTTAATACGTTCAGAAATCTAAAAGTGTTTTGGCTCGAATTTGTTTTCAAATCGCTTTTTTATTTCTGACATCGGTTAGAAAATAGGTATAAACACATCATTCAGTTGACGCGAAGTGAGAAACGGCTGCTTATCTTTATAGAGTCCGTACTAAATTTGAATTATTATTATAAAAAATTATAATTCTTGTTCGCTTCCTTTTGGGTCCACCGCGAAAATTAATTATTAAAGAAATATAAGAATAAAAATAACTAATTTTGTTTACTTTTGAATACGGTTTCAGCGAGTGCGCAATAACGCCACAGTTATAAACGCTTGAAAGAAATATGTGTTGAATCAAATCGATTTTTTTGTTAACGCGGTTCTTGCCTATGTATAAAAAGTAGTATGTCCATTTTATAGTTTTAGATGCGAATGATCTTTTATCTGTTTATTCAACATCACACAGAAACGCCTGAATATTCGACACCGTTTCTCAGCTCAGCGTTGCTGCCGCGTTATTTCAGTATGTTTCATAAAAATTTTTTGACAGCCACAAAACGTTGACGCTATTATTTAGGAGTGATAGTTAGGCACAAGGTGTATTAAACAAGGTGTGATTGGCAACTCAGTGCGGCTATGTTTTAAGGCACTATAATGTAAAAAATCATGGTCAAATAAATATGAGGTGATGTCACTTACATAACCTCACTTTTTCTGAGTGTAGTAGAAAAGAGAAATTATACTTTTAATTTGCTAGACCAAAGTGCATCATCACAGCCATCCGAGGCACAGCTCCAATAATATATTGAATATGAATCTTACTAATATTATAAATGTGAAAGTTTGTATGTTTGGATGTTTGGGAAATCATCACGCGGAAACGACTGAACGGATTTGCATGAAGTTTTGTACGCAGATAGCCTATGGACCAGATTGGAAAATAGGCTACTTTTCTTAGGAGTTGCCACCTGTTAAAAAAGTTTAATTAAATTAATACGCGGAAACGACTAAACGGATTTGCATGATATTTGCACACAGATGGCTTATGACCTACGTTAGAAAGTAGGCTACTGTTTTTAAGAGTTGCCACCTGTTAGAAATGTTTAATTTAATTAATACGCGGAAATTAATGAACTGATTTGCATGGAAGTTTTCACACAGATAGCTTATGAGCTAGGCTGAAAAATAGGCTACTTTTTTTAAGAGTTGCCACCTGCTAATAAAAGTTTAATTAAATTAATACGCGGAAAAGTCTGAACGGATTTGCATGAAATTTTGCAAGCAGATAGCTTATGACCTACAGTGGAAAATAAGCTAATTTTTTGGAAGAGTTGCCTCCTGTTAAAAAAGTTTTAATTAAACTAACACGCGGAAACGACTGAACAGATTTGCATGCCATTTCGCACAGAGATAGCTTATGACTACGGTGACCATATTTATGGGGGCCAAATACGGGACAAAAAATAATTTTGCAATTTTTTCCACACAAGCTAACAGATCTTAAAACCTTCTTCAATGATCCTAAGTGTATTAGAGCTGAAAGAGCATCCTTAAAGTAACATCTCAAACCTATAGGATATTTTTCTCGAGATTTTTTCTCCACAAAATTTGTTACAAAAAATTCCTTAAATTTTAATACAATAAAATGCAAGTTCGAAGTAGCTAGGATATACCGTCAATTTTTGGATTTATATTTTTTTGACGGTGTTACGCATTTTTTTCGTACGAAGTATGTTCGATAATATTTTTAAAGGAGAAGCAAATGAGCAGAACACATTGCACTTGCACCTTATTATAATGAATTTTAATGAGCTACAAACCTTCAAAAGATTCTGATCAAAAAGTTTGAAAGTTTGGTGAAACTTTGCAGAATTAATTTTTATAGTTTTTGCACAAAGTCGGAAATTTTTTTTATATGGTTTTTGTTAGGAAAAAAGCCTTACTTCCATAAAAAAATAAGAAACATAAAATAAACAAATGTCGAGTCCTAATTTATATTTTGGTCACGTATGCATTTTTCTATTCGAATCACAGGCATTCAGATTAGAAACTAATAACTGTTTATGGAGAAAATTACAATCATATACCAACATCACTTAAAACTGTTTCATAGACATGCCATTTTAATGGGTTGTTAAGGCATCGAAATGCCGAACACTGAATACGGGACAAATACAGGGCGTGAAAAGGAATACAGAACATTTGGCGTCCCGTATAAAATAAAGAAATTACCAGGACAATTGGTCAAAAAAGAGGACTGTCCCGTATAATACAGGACGGATGGTCACCGTACTTATGACCTACGTTGGAAAATAGGCTACTATTTTAAGAGTTATCACGTATTAGGAAAGTTTAATTAAATTAATACGCGTAAATGACTGAACTGATTTGCATGAAAGTTTGCACACAGATAGCTTATGGCCTAGACTGGAAAATAGGCTACTTTTTTAAGAATTGCCAGCTGTTTTAAAAAGAAATTTTGCTCAAGGATGGTTTATGACCTGGATTGAAAAATAGGCTACTTCCTTAACCGGTTTTCCGATCAGAACGAAATTTAGTACGCTTACTACGGATTTCGGAAGGATGGTCTTAGACTGAAAGTAAGTCCGGTAACTCAAGGCCCTTCCATACAAATTGGAATTTTCATATTACATACATATCTCTGGAAGTATTTGTGGGGGAGAACTGAAATGGTATAGTGATATGTGTGTCAAATCAATGTTGATTTCATGACATTTCATAGACAAATTAATCAGATTTTATTTTTAATTGGATTAACGATTAATGTTTTAAATTAATTAAACGTAATCGCAGCCAGCGATTAACGATTAAAAAAATGTTATCATTAATCGTACAGTTGACTACGACTAATTAAATTTAATCGTCGAACGCGATTAACATTTTAATCGTTAATCAGATTAACAGTTTGCCAACACTGTGTGAAATCATGTTCATATTCACGGAGAAAAATGGACGTTTTTGGTAAATAGGCGTAGCACCTCCCATACTAACTGAAAGTTTCATATTGCATATCTCTTCAAATGTTTGGGGTAAAGCACTCAAGCTTGGTATGGAAATACATATGTATGTATGTATGTGAAACTAATACCATACTCATGGAGAAAAATGAGAGTTATTGGAAAAGGTGGTGTGGCAACTCCCATGCAAATTGATTTTTCCATGCTGCATATCTCTGGAGGTGTTTATTGCAGAGGACTGGAACTTGGCACCGAGATGTGTATACAAAATTAATTCCATTCTCATGGAGAAAAATTTGCGTTATTCGAAAAGGGGACATGGTTCCTCCCGTACAAATTTACTGTTTTAAACTGCTTATCTCTAGAGGTGTTCATGGTAGAGTACTGGGACTTGGTACTGGGGTATGTAAAATCAATTCTAAATTCATGGAAGAAGATTAGGGTTATAAGAAAAAGGGGCGTGGCACTTCCAGTACACATTTGCTTTTTCTTGCCACATATCCCTGGAAGTGTTTGTGGAGGAATACTGGAACTTGGTATGGAGTTGGGTATACAAAATTTATCAATTGCTCATGGAAAAAATGTGAGTTATTAAAAAAGAAGGCATGTCGCCTCCCATACATACTAAAAACTTCTTAATACATATCTCTGGAAGGATAGAAAATCTCTCGAAGTATTTTAAATTTGTTATGGAGATTTATTTTATAAGTGCCGTACTGACAATAAATTTCATTAAATGGAAAAGGGAGAGCCGGGTTCGCCCTTATAATCTAAAGCTCTCTTGAGGCATTTGCTACAGTAATGAGAAGTGGTATTTTATCAAGGCCAGGTTACTAAATTTGAGTTGGAAATATTAGAACCCGCCGTGGCACCTCCAAGAAGGTTACACATTCACGCGTCGTATACCTGGAACCATTTTAAGGTAAACTTAGAGAGATTGATATCTTTCGAATGCCTAGCGCGCAGACGAGATTTTATAATTTCATAGTTTTAAACGGCCTAAATACCTTAATTCGCTTAAAAAATAACGAGCTATAACGAAATGGGCACAGAAATAAAATCTAACATCATTAAATTATTTTTCATATTTGTATAAAAGCGCGGGGTGAAACCCGCGGGTAAAAGCTAGTAGTATATATTTTACCAAAAAATTTACTT